GCGACGTGTGGGGGGCAGTGGAGGGCGCCGGCGCAAACAGGTGGTGCACCAGTTACAGGTGTGGATGTCGTAGAGGAGAATTCCAAAGGAAACCGAGGAGATGGCCGTCTGTGGAGTGAAATTGTAGAAGAGTCTCTTGTGGTGCATGTTGGGCGGGGCACGAGTTGTGTGGAGCCGAAAATGGCCACTTTGCCGGTGACGGGGGAGGAAGTGCTCATTCAGCAGGAGGTGCAAGAGCTGGAGGAGGAGCTCGACGAGGTACTGAAAACTTTACCTTCTTCGGGCGAGGATAATGGCTTGGTCCGTGAAATGGTGCCTGAGTTGAAAGGAGAGTGTGGTGGGACAGGCACGGGAAGGAAGGAGGACAACTGCAGGCACAGAGAGGAGTCACCGAGCTCTGTGCGACAGGTCACAGTAGAGGTTGATGTTCACTGTGAGGAATCTTCGGTAGACAGTATGGCGGTAGAGAGTGTTACGAGGAAGAGGGCGGCTGCGTCAGACTCAGATGATGTCCGACGCCCGCGCAGAGGTCTGGGAGGAAGGATGTATATTCTCGTGACAGCCAGGATAAGAGGCATCGAAGAGGGGGGGGGGGGATGGTGACAAACCCACATGTTGACCCTGGGGCAAGAGGCCCTGGGAAGGGTGAGAGGAGAAAGGGTTGGGAAGCTTTAGAAAGCCTTAAGTGCATGACTGTGAATGTGAATGGACTGTGTACTGGTGTGAAGAGGGAATGCTTTCGTATGCTCTTACGTCGATACAGAGTGGACGTAGTCTTTCTACAGGAGCATAATTTCAGGGAGGGTAGATTGCTCGAGGTGGACGGGTATACGGTGTTGACTCTGCCATCGGCACGTTTGAAAGGTGGTGTGGGTTTATTGATAAAGGAGGCGAGCCCGTTTGTGTTTGCAAAGACGTGAAGGGGGTGGGGGGGGGGTGTTGCGTGTGGATGGGTGGTGGATGGGGCAGAGGGTAACCTTTGTAAGTGTGTATGCACCAGCTGAAAATGATATGAAAGTCAAGAGGGTTTTGTGTGTGATGATCTAGTTTTTGCTTTCCGTGGTTACCTGAAGTGGCCATCGTAGGTGGGGACTGGAATTGTGTGATCAGGAGAGGGGATGTGGAACCACGAGGGGGGGGGCATATTTTTGACAGCATTACGCAATCTTTTGGTGGACGTTCAGTTGAGGGATGTGGTAGGTGGGGGAGCGTGGAGGTGGAGCATACTTTCGTGAGGCAAAGGTTACGCAGCTAGGTTAGACAGGTTGTATATATCTCGTAAGGTATTGTCAACGTCTGTCCGTACTATTGAACTAGCTTTTTCAGATCATAGGGCGGTTGTGCAGAAGTAGAGTGGGATTCTCTAGCTTGTATCTCTAGGGATATTGGAAATTAAATACGAGTCTGTTGGAAGATGAGGAGGGGTTGGGGGGTTTTACGGAGCTGTGGGAGAGATTAATGAGGAGGTACAAGGTGTGGAGGACGTGGTGACGTGGTGGGATGGTGTGGCTAAGGACCGGATTCGGCATTATTATGTGAGGGAGGGGAAAAGGATTAATTTCTTTAAAATTTGGGTTGATTAATTTTTTGGAGGACAGGTTACGGGGTTGTTATGTAAAAGGACAGTAGAGGGTGTCTATCCGATGGACGACATTATGATACTTAAAGAGCGGTTGCGGGAAATTCAGGACGAGCGGTTCCAAGCGGTGAGAGTAATGGCGGGGGTGGAGGAGGTGTTATGGGGAGATAGGCCGTCTTCGTGTGTGTTGCGCAGACAAAAACGTCGGCAGGCAACAACTATTCCATGTTTGGAGGTTCTTGAGTCGGTGGGAGGGTATAGGGCGGGTCAGGTTATCCACACTATGGATGGGATGGGGTTGTTTGCGGATCAGTGGTACGAAAAGTATTGGCGGGAGGAAGGGGTAGGATTAGGGGATTTAGAGAGGTGTGTGGAAGTGTGCCATGTAGGTTAGGACACAGTGATAGGAAGCTTTGGGGGGGGACATAACTGAGGGGGAAATATGGAGAGCTTTGAGTGCCATGCAAAAGGGCAAAGCACCGGGAATCGATGGACTGCCGGCGGAGTTTTATCAACAGCATTGGGAGTTAATAAAAGTTTTTTTGGTGAGGTTACTGAACTGATGAAGGTAAGGGGAAGGTTGGGTGAAAGACAGGCAACAGCTGTAGTTGTTTTGGTTTCCGAAGGGTAAGGAACAGCGTTCGCTCAGGGGCTATAGAACAATATCGTTGTTATGCGCGGATTATAAGTTATTTGCAAAAATTTTAGGAAATGGATCAAGTGTGTTGTATGGAGGGTTGTATTCAAACCCAGTTTTTGGGTTGCCAGGTAGGTTATGGGGGTGGGACATGGTCTTTTAAGGGGTTTCGTGGAAGAAAAAGGGGGGGAAGGGGGGGGGGTTGGTTGCACTAGACTGGCAAGGAGCTTATGATAGGGTGGAGCGAGAGGCGTTGAGAGCTATCCTTAGGAAACAGGGCTATGGGGAAGAAATAGTGGGATGGGTAGAGGCGTTTTTATAGAGGGGCAATGGTGAGAGTACAGATTAATGGAAGATTAGGGGGGAGGATTGTAATGGGCAGAGGTCTTAGACAGGGGTGTCCTATGTCACAGCTTTTATTTGCGTGCATACAGGACCCCTTTTATAGAATGGTGGAGCGCCATATGGGCGTTAGTGAAGGGGTTGGGGGGTACTGAGGGCGTTTGGCCTGTTCTCATAGGGTATGTGGATGATACCACTGTATTGGTTAGAGAGGGGATGTCCATAAATGCCTTAGATGGAGTGGTCGACACGTTTGCATGTGCGACTGGTATGAGGGTAAATTCGGAGAAGTCCATGGTTATGGGGTTAGGAACTTGGGGGGAGAGGGTCGAGTGGGGTAGTGCAGTCGTAAAGAAGCGGGTGATGTCATTAAAAATTTGTGGTCTAATCTATGCTGATGATCTTGAGGTTGCACGTGTTAATAATTCGGTCAGGTTGGTAGAAAGGATTACTGGGTCGATTGGGAGCATTGCGGCCTTATCATTTGACCTTGTGCAGCGTGCCATTGTAACTAACGTTTTATTGTATAGCAAGGTTTGGCATGTGGCTGCCGTGTTCCCCTTTAACGGGGACGGCAATTGCAACTATACTTAGAGGGGTTTTTTAAATTTTGTGGGGTTCATGTTGTGACTGGCTTAGAAGGGATGTAGTAATGTTACCCGTGCGTCAGGGGGGTTTGGGTTTAATGAACTTAAAGAGGAGGGTTAAATGTATCTTCATTAAAAGGGAGGTGATGAGGGAGGGTGTGAGTGGGGGGGGTTGGTTAAGGTACACAATAAATTGAAACGCATGTTTTCTGGGACGGAGTTGAGGGAGTGTGAAACTATTTTGAGGGCAGTGGTGATGGTTAGGGATCTGGGTAAGGTAAAAATAAGTAGGCTGTGTAGGATGTCGGCGGAAAGGGTTGTGGCTCCCGGTGGAGGGGATTTTCCCCATGTATGACTGGGATGTATATGGAGAAGGTTTGGTAGGTTAAGGTTACAACCCCATGGACGTGAGGTGATGTATCGGTTTTTGCATGGGATTTTACCATCGGGAGTGGTCTTACGAGCTAGACGGGTGGTTGAGGGGGGGGGTATGTGGAATATGTGGCGGGGAGGATTCTGCATTTCATGTAGTGTTATTTTTGTGAGGGGTTGGGGAGCGTCAGGGGTTGGTTGAGCAGGGTGTTGCATAAGATAAGTGGTCAATACTTCTCTGTTCTGCGGGCATTGAGTCTTGATGTGGGGGGTATGGATGAAAGTATTATTAGGGCTGTGGGGTACATTATGGTAGATTATGTCTACATTATGTGGGGAATGAGGGGGAAAGGGGTAAGTGAGGGGAAGAGGAGGGTATTGGCTGTTACGTTTTATAAAACGTTGTGCCGTAATAGAGAACTTTATGGGAGGAGGTGGGAGCGGTATTTCTCTGAGGGATATAGAGACCTTACATTAGAGGTTTTATTAAATTTGTAAATTGGGTGGGTAATGGTGTTTATGTTGATGGCTGTCAGGGGTGGGAAAAAGGGGTCGCCTCCTGGTTTTGTAGCGGGTGAATGTGTATGAACTTGGGCGTATGATGTGTATTCATGGTTTGTGACGAGTATACTCTATATATGTGTTTGATTTTGCGTGGGAATTGTTCTATGTATGTTATTCATATGCATGTTTTAGGTGCTTGTAGAGGTGTCAAATGTGTTGGATCCTTGTTTATTAAATATATTCTGTGTTTTATGAACATATTGTTTTTACCTTATTCTCAATACATTACGTTAATTGTATTTAACGTATAAGGTGTCCCACTTTATAATTTACAATGGGACAATATATGCATATTATGGTGTGTTTTGTTAATCATATAACAATGCAATTGGAATTAGTCGTTTATTGGTTATCATAGGTGTAGGGGTTTTCATGTATGGGTGAGGAGGGATATTTGTGTTATCTCAAGTTCATGTTTGTGTGGTTGTTAATGATTTAGTCTGTGTAAGACCTGTTTTTGTCTTTATCTATCTCTTGTATTGTATTGTTCTAAATAAAATATAAAAAAAAAAAAAAATAAACCCATGTTTCCCTGGGTTGTGTAACTGATGGGTATCTAGATGGTTGGCGATCTTGCTTCTTAGAACCCTTTCAAGATTTTTATGACGAGATGTTAGTGCTATCTGTCTGTAGTTCTTTGCAATTGCTTCACTGCCACCTTTGTAGACAAGGGCTATGTCTGTTGTTTTTAGTGAGTGTGGGATGAGCCCTGTGTCCATGCTCCCGCTCCATAGTATGATGAAAGTATGTGACAGGGGCTTCTTGCAGTTCTTGATGAACACGGAGTTCCATGAGTCTGGGCCTGGGGCAGAGTGCAGGGGCATGTCATTTATTGCCTTTTTCAAAGTCTTGTGGTGATAGGATAATATCAGAGATTTTTGAGATGACCAAATTTTGGGTCTCAGTCAAAAAGAATTCATTTAGATAATTCAGAATATTTTTGATGTCAATATCATGAGGAGATGGCATACCATTATATGTAACAGCATAGCTCCGAACACTTGACCCAAGGCATACATCAAATCAATAACTTCAATATCAATTTTGCGTCTGGTGGCTAGTCTAAGATTAATTTTTAGGAGCTTAAACAAAGAGCCATTCACGACCTCCATACGACATTTAACAGATCCATGTAGGAGTGTGTAGCATCAGTGTGGACCCCTCATGCGATATTAAGTAGAAGTTGAGCAGTTGAGGTACGTGGAGGCATCATAGTCGAAGAGAAGGAGGTCTACTCGGTACAGGTCGAGAAGAGCGTTCATCTGTGAGTTCGACAGTTGGCACAACAGCTTCACCGCTAAAGCCTCGGTCGTCTCCCCAGTAGACCTGTTGATAACTTTGGGTTGAATGATGCCGTCGATCTCTGTAGGAGTAACAGAGAGACTCACTAAATATTATTTTACTGTAGGATAAGTAGTGTTAGTGTAGCAGTGTTACTGAAATAATTGTTTACGTAAGCAAATGTGACAGTAGTAAGAGTTACTGTAGTGGAGTACTGCAGCAGTGTTTCATGTAGCACGGCTACTGTATAGTTGTTAATGCAGCAAGTGATACTGTAGCAGTGGTAACTGTAGCAGTGTTACTGTAGCAGTCTTAATGTAGTAGGGTTACTGAAGCAGTGTTTACTGTAGCAGTGTTACTGTACAGTGTTACTGTACAAGGTTACTGTAGTATTGTTTACTGTAGCAGTAAGTACTGTAGCAGTGTACTGTAAGAAGTGTTATGAAGCAGTGTTAACTGTAGGCAGTGTTACTGTACGTGTTACTGTAGCAGTGTTACTGAATGGATTGATACTGTAGTAATGTGGACAGTAGAGAGTACTGTAGTGGAGTTAACAGCAGCAAGTGTCCATGTAGCACTGTTACCTGTAGTAGTGATACTGTAGTCAGTGTACTGTAGCACTGTTTTACTGTAACAGTGTTACTGAGTACAGTGTTACGTAGCAGTGTTAACTGTAGTAGTTTTACTGTATGCAGTGCTATCTGTAAGCCATGTTACTGTAGCAGTGTTCTGTAGAAGTTGTTACTGGTAGTAGTGTTACAGTAGCAGTGTTTACTGAAGCAGTGTTACTGTAGCAGTGTTTACTGTAGTAGGGTACTAGTAGTGTTACTGTAGGCAGTGTTTACTAAGCAGAGTTACTGTAGCAGTGTTAACTGTAGTATGTTACTAACACAGCGTTACTGTAGGATGTTACCTGTAGCAGTGTTACTGTAGTAGTGTTACTGTAGTAGTGTTACTGTAGTGGAGTTACTGCAGCAGCGTTACTGTAGCACTGTTACTGTAGCAGTGTTACTGTAGTAGTGTTACTGTAGTGGAGTTACTTCAGCACTGTTCATGTAGCAGTGTTACTGTAGCAGTATTACTGTAGCAGTGTTACTGTAGCAGTGTTACTATAGCAGTGTTACTGTAGCAGTGTTACTGTAGCAGTGTTACTGTAGTAGTGTTACTGTAGCAGTGTTACTGTAGCAGAGTTACTGAGCAGTGTTAAACTGTAGCAAGTGTTACTGTAGCAGTGTTACTGAAGCAGTGCTATTGTAGCAGTGTTACTATAGTAGTGTTACTGTAGTAGTGTTACTGTAGCACTGTTACTGTAGCAGTGTTACTGTAGCAGTGTTACTGTAGTAGTGTTACTATACCTGTGTTACTGTAGCAGTGTAACTGTAGCAGTGTTGCTGTAGCAGTGTTACGTAGTATGTACTGTAGAAGTGGTTACTGTAGCATTGGGAATGTAGTAGTGTTACTGTAGCAGTGTTACTTTAGTAGTGTTACTGTAGCAGTGTTACTGTAGTAGTGTTACTGTAGTGGAGTTACTCCAGCACTGTTCATGTAGCAGTGTTACTGTAGCAGTGTTACTGTAGCAGTGTTATTGTAGCAGTGCTACTGTAGCAGTGCTACTGTAGCAGTGTTACTTGGTAGCAGTGTTACTGTAGCACATGTTACTGTAGTAGTGTTACAGTAGCAAGTTACTGTAGAGGTGATACTGTAGTAGTGTTTTACTGTACACTGTTACTGTAGCAGTGTTTACTGTAGCAGAGTAACAGTAGTAGTGTTACTGTATAGTGTTACAGGGTAGTATGTTACTGTATTAGTGTTTTACTGTAGTAGTGTTACCTGTGGTGTGTACAGTCGTAATTGTAACTGTGGTAAGTTGTTACTGTATCAGTGTTACTGTAGTGCAGTGTTACTGTAGTAGTGTTACTGTAGTAGTGTTACTGTAGTAGTGTTACTGTAGTAGTGTTACTGTAGTAGTGTTAATGTAGTAGTGTTACTGTAGCAGTGTTACCTGTTGTATGGTTACTGAAGGGAGTTACTGCAGCAGTGTTCATGTAGCACTGTTACTGTAGCAGTGTTACTGTAATAGTGTTACTGTAGTAGTGTTACTGTAGCAGTGTTACTGTAGTAGTGTTACTGTAGCAGTGTTACTGTAGCAGTGTTACTGTAGTAGTGTTACTGTAGCAGTGTTACTGTAGCAGTGTTACTGTAGCAGTGTTACTGTAGCAGTGTTCTGAAGGATTATATTTTCTGTTATAATTTACAGTAGTAAGATTACTGTAATGGAGTTACTGCAAGCTGTTTCAGGTAGTCACTGTTACTGTGTAGTGATACTGTAGTAGTGTTACTGTAGCAGTGTTTACTGTAAGCAATTAGGTTACTGAATAGTGTTTACTTGAAGTCAGTGTTACTGTCGTAGCTGTTACTGTAGTAGTGTACTGCGTAGTTTGTGTTACCAGCTACTGTAGCAGTGTTACTGTACAGTGTTACTGTAGGCAAGTGTTCTGTATCAGTGTTAACTGTAGTAGTGTTACTGTAGCAGTGTTACTGTACCGTGTTACTGTAAGCAGTGTTTACTGTAGTAGTTTACTGTAGTAGTAGTACTGAAGCAGTGTTACTGTAGCAGTGCGACTGTAGCAGTGTACAATAGTAAGTGTTACTGTAAGTAGTGTTACTGTACAGTGTTTACTGTAAGCAGTGTACAGTAGAAGTGTTACTGTAGCAGTGATATTGTAGCACTGTACTGTAGTCATGGTTACTGTAAGCAGTGTTACTGTAGCAGTGTTACTGTAGCAGTGTTACTGTAGCAGTGTTACTGTAGCAGTGTTACTGTAGTAGTGTTACTGTAGCAGTGTTACTGTAGCAGTGTTACTGTAGCAGTGTTACTGTAAGCAGTGCTACTGTAGCAGTGATTACTATAGTAGTGTTACAGGTAGTAGAGTTATTACTGGTTAGCAGTGTTTGTTTACTGTAGCAGTGATACTGTAGCAGTGTAACTTAGTAATGTTACTATACCATCGTTACTGTAGCAGTTTTAACTGAAGCATGTTACTGTAGCAGTGTTAATGTAGCACTGTTACTGTAGCAGTGTTACTGTAGTTGTGTTACTGTAGTGGAGTAACTGCAGCAGTGTTCATGTAGCACTGTTACTGTAGCAGTGTTACGTACAGTGTACCTGAAGTATAGTTAGTGTAGCAGAGTTACTGGAAGTATGTTACTGAAGTAGTGTTACAGAGCAGTGTTACTGTATCAGTGTTACTGTATAGTGTGACTGTAGTAGTTTTTACTGTAAAAGCATGTTACTGTAGCAGTGTTACTGAAGCGGTGTACTGTATAGTGTAACCTGTAGCAGTGTTACTGTAAGTAGTGTTACTGTAGTAGAGTTACTGTAGCAGTGTTTTACTGTCGCATTGTTACTGTAAATAGTGTTATTATGTATAGTGTTACTGTAGCATGTATACTGTAGGCAGTGTACTTTAGCAGTGTTACTGAAGCAGTGTTACTGTATTAGTGGTTACTGTAGTGGAGTTACTGTAAGCAGTGTTCCTGTAGCAGTGTTACTGAAGTAGAAGTGTCGTACTGTAGCAGTGTTACTGTAGCAAGTGTTTCTGTAGCAGTGTTACTGTAGAAGTGTTACTTTATAGTGTTAACTGTAGTGGATTACTGCACAGTGTTCATGTAGCACAGTAACTGTAGCAGTGTACTGTTGCAGTTGTTACTGTAGTATCGTTACTGTCGCAGTTTACAGTAGTAGTGTTAATAGTAGTTGTTACTGTAGCAGTGTTTACTGTAGCAGTGTTACTGTAGTATGTTATCGGTAGTAGTGGTTACGTAGTAGTGTTACGGTATATGTTTACTGTAGCCGTGTTACTGTAGTAGCGTTACTGGTAAGCCAGTGTTACTGTAGTTCGTGTACAGTAGAGTGTTACTGTAGCATGTGTTACTGTAGCAGTGTTACTGTAGTATGTTACTGTATGTAGTGTTTACAGTATTAGTGTTACTGTAGCAGTGTTACAGCAGTAGTGTTACGTAGAGTTGGTTCCTGCATGCAGTGCTCCATGTAGCACTGTTAGATCTGTAGCAGTGGTTTCTGTAGCCAGTGTTTTACTGTACAGTGTACTGTAGTAGTGTTTACTGTAGCCAGTGTTACTGTAGCAGTGCTACTGTAGTAGTGTTACTGTAGTAGTGTTACTGTAGTAGTGTTACTGTAGTAGTGTTACTGTAGTAGTGTTACTGTAGTAGTGTTACTGTAGTAGTGTTACTGTAGCAGTGTTTCTGTAGCAGTGTTACTGTAGCGTGAACTGTATCAGTGTTTAACTGTAGCAGTGTTTAATGTAGTATGTTTACTGTAGCAGTGTTACTGTAGCAGTGTTTCTGTAGCAGTGTTACTGTAGCAGTGTTACTGTAGTAGTGTTACTGTAGCAGTGTTACTGTAGCAGTGCTACTGTAGTAGTGTTACTGTAGTAGTGTTACTGTAGTAGTGTTACTGTAGTAGCGTTACTGTAGCAGTGTTACTGTAGCAGTGTTACTGTAGCAGTGTTACAGTAGCAGTGTTTTACTGTAACAGTGTTTATATGTAGCAGTGTTACTGTAGCAGTGGTTTAATGTAGCATGTTACTGTAGCAGTGTTACAGTAGTAGTGTTTCAGTAAAGCATTGTTACTGTAGGCATTGTTACTGTAGCAGTGCTACTGTAGTATGTTACGTATGTAAGTGTTACTGTAGAAGTGTTACAGTAGTAGTGTTACTGTAGTATGTTACTGTATGAGTTGTTCTGTAGCAGTGTTTACTGCAGTAATGTTAATACTGTAGTGTGGTTATACTGCCGGCAGTGTTCATGTAGCACTGTTACTTGTCCAGTGTTTCCAGTAGCAGTGCTACTGTAGATAGTGTGTAATTTGGTAGGTAAGTGTTACTGTAGTAGAGTTACTGTATAGTGTTAACTGTAGGTAGTGTTACTTAGCAGTGTTACTGAACAGTGTTACTGTAGCAGTGTATACTGTAGCCGTGTTGCTGTTGCAAAGTGATTACTGTAGCAGTGTTACTGTACATTGTTACTGTAGCAGTTTTATAACTGTAATAGTGTTACTGT